TGTTTATATATCCTTCAATCCTAAATCCTTATTCAAAACCAGGATTGCATATTTTTCTTATATACAGACGTGCACGGACCAGAAAAATCAGAGCTGTTACACAAGCAGTGCTTTCTTTCAAAATGCAAGCATAATCGAGCGAGGAATCAAAGACGTTCTGCACTTTTTCTTCCAACTGAATGGACTTCAGGTATTTAAATAGCTTAATGGAAAAAGAACGTGGCATTAATAGAGCAGGAGAGAGGCAGCGCGGAGTTGTGGCTCAATTACTGGGAGAGATCTGAAATCAGCTGGGGACATTACGGCCCCGCCTCCGGACTGCCTCTGGGGGCCCTGCTGCCTGCAGGTCATTACAGACAAAAGCAGCGCTGCGATCCAGGCAAGCAGAAAGGGGCTGCCTTGCTCTGTCTTCAACACAAATGACTGCAGAGCAAAAGACTGAACCGACTGTTGTTGTATTATGTTCTTCTTCCAGGTGGGCTAACAGACCGGTTTATCCCGCTTGAGCGTTTTTCCCATCCCTCGGCCAAAGTAAAACAGCGCAAAGCAATTAAGTAATATCCTCACAGTGGAAGGCAGACAAAGGAAACGACAGGTACTGGTTTTGCTGGAAAGACAAACACAGACTACAGCACAGCTTCCTGTGACTGCAGCTCTAAAAACAATTAATCCGACAGAATTAATTCAGGCACAAGAATGTAACAGAAAACAGGGCAGTTTAAGAAGACATTGATGTGTCTGAGACGGATATACTGTAGGTGCTTTCCTGCTATTTTGGAAGATGTAGCTAAAATAAATCCCTGCAAATCAGTCTGGATAGCTGTGCGACAGCTAACCCAGAAACCCATTTCACAATCTATCACCACTGTCTGGAAACAGTTTGTTAGTATACCAATATTAAACAATTAATTAACCAACAGCTTGTTGCGATGAGAAACCACTTACCCGACACGTAAATATTGGTGTTCTTTTCTTGATCTATGTTAAACCAACCTGCAAAGAAATGATATATATAAAAATATGGTTTTAGTCCTGGAGGCATGGTGTCCGCTGCCTTTGATACCAACTCAGCTCTTACTGACCTAAATCAGTTTGTGAGGATTTAGCGGGACCAACAGAACAACAGCTACCGGCTCTTCAGGTGCTGCTCTTTTAAACAGACCTAGACTTGCTACAGACTCACATGGCCTCCCAGGACCAGGACTGCCCAACCCTGCTCTAACGGGGCGGCACACACGTGAAATCAGCGAGCCCGTCTCTTCACCTGGGTCTGCCTTGCGCTTCTCCTTCTGCTTGCCCTCCTTGGGCTGGGTGACCTCGGCGCCCTCCGCCTGTGGTTTCTGGGGAGCACTCTTCTGGGCCACAGGGTCTGCTGCGGGCGCCTCCGAGACCGACGGTTTGCCTGTCCCTTCTTCGTTAAAGCCGTAGTTGGCATGATACGCCGCCAGGAAGTCCTCGGTTATCTGGGCACGGCAGTTGGGGGGGGG